TAATTTTTATTTTAAACTTTTTTGTAACCATATATAATCTTTAGGAAAAAATGAGCGAAATACTTGGTAGTATCACCAGCGCATTAGGACAATTGTTCAAAAATCTCTTACCAAGCTAGGGAGACCCAACGCCACCCAAGTTACCCGAACCTTCCAAGCCACCAGTACCAGAAGAAGAGCCGGGGTCGGAAGAGGAGGGGAAAGTGACTATGAGACCGCTGCTGAAGGAGATAAATCAGATTCTGAATCTGATAACGAGTCCAAACCTGAAGAAAAAAACAAAATAATATTTCGAAGAATAGAAGATCCAGCTCCGAAAAGGTTAGTAGAAACTAGAAGAATTTCTGACCAAGGTTTATGTATTGATCTTCTTGCTAATATCTCCGAAAATTATTCCTATCGAGAAGATCCCTTAGCCACGTTCAAGGATGTTGAAGACTAAATCAGTGATGTGTATAGAAGAGAATTAGCTCGCTTAGGAGGAATTAAAACAAAGATAGTCCTTATTGCTCACATGTATCAGTTTGTAACAGTAGGAAGATTTCATAATCATCGATTAGATCAAGACATAGCATTTCCAAGTGAAATCTTGGATATTATTCGCCAGGATAGAATAGACCAAACAGTCTCACAACAATATCATGAAATTCTAGATAAAATCGATGAAATGAAACACAATCAATATTCGGATTGGACTTATAAGTATAGTAAAAAGATCTTTTTAGAAATAAGTGCGTATCAGCCACTCCAAGGTAGATCACATTTTGCATTACCAAAGATTTGGGCAAAACTTTAGTTAGGAATAATCAATCCACAAAATACAGATGAAAGATATTTCGAAGCCTGTTTAAAAGGTTATTTAGCTAGTGAGGAAGCTCGTAGACAGGAAACTAGAGCGAGAAATCTTCATGATGTTAGTAGATTAAGGCGCTTTGATAATGTATTAGATTTCACCGGTATAGATTTTCCAGCCACATTGCGTGATATTGACAAATTCGAAGAAAATAATCCGTCTTATTCAATAAATGTCTTCTATCCAGCACTGTCCAAAAATGAAAAAGAGCAAGCAACTAGAAAGTTGGACCCACTTCGCATATCAGAATACAACTATCAAAGAGAACATATGGTAGATTTAATTTTATTTACCGAAGGAGAGGAAGATTTAAGAGATCACTGTAATATTAATGAAATCCCTCCAGGATTAAATATGCACTATTGTCTTATCAATGATAAAAGTGGATGGAGTCGAATTATGAGTAGTTGGAATAAGCATAAAGAACGAAAATATTTCTGCCGTCACTGGATGATTGCTCCATTTTCAAGAAAGGACCTGCTTGAAGAACACAAAAAGCATAACTGTCATGGACAAAATAATCTTAATGCTGGCCAAAGAGAAATATTTCCCGAAAAGGGGAAGCATATCATGAAATTCAAAAATTATAAAGCAATGGAAAATGTGCCATTTTATTTCGTTAAAGATCTCGAAGCAGATAGTGATCTAATAGAAGACAACATTATCAATAAAAAAACCGTTAAACTACAGAAGCAGAAGCCTAATAGTTACAGTTATGTTTTAATCCAAACAGACGGGAAGCTTGCAAAAGAAATTGTTAGACGAACTCCAAATTCAATTGCAGAGTCATGGGAAAGCATGCAATGAGACTTGGAAGAAATCATCAAACCAAAGTTGCGTAACCCAGAAAAAATAAAAATGACAGAGCGTAATTGGCAAACACATAACTCTGCCATAAAATGTTATATATGTAAAGGAATGTTACATGAAACCCGATATAATAAAGTAAAATATTTCGATTCAACCAAAAAATTCATAGCCGGTGCACATCATGGTTGTGTTAAAATTAAGTGCGAAGCCACAGAAGAAAACTTAATGGAAGCTTTATATCATACAAAAGGTTTGACTATAGAGGAAGAAAATATATTTAAAAAAGCAACCGAATGCTGTTTATGCAAAATGAAACTTCGAGCTGATATAAATGATAATAGAGTTAGAGATCACGACCATTTCACTGGAAAATATCGTGGCCCAGCACATCATGGATGTAATTTTCAACTCCGGATAAAGCCAGACGAAATTAAAATTCCATTGATATATCATGGTAGAAAACATTATGACTTCCATCATGAAATACGGGAATTGGGTTTAGTTAGTGACGACAAAATCAAGATAATTGCGGACAATATGGAGAATTATAAGACGATAATAATTGGGCAGATAAAGTTTATAGATTCATGCCAATTCCAGTTTCCGTCATTAGAAAAAGTGGCAACTAATTTGCGTGGCAAAGAAAAGACACCGGAACAACTAGCAAAGTGTTTCCCGATTATGGCACAAAGTATCCCACAACATTTACTCCTGCTACTTACACAAAAAAGTGAGTACCCATATGAATTAAATGATCCAGAGCGCTTCTCTAGAACAGAGCTTCCGTCAAGAAAAGAATTTAATACAGTGCTAGGTGGACTAAATTATTGCGAAAATGGCTGTAAAACATGTAAACATGAAAAAATTTACACCATTAGTCAAAAGCAATATGACCATGCGCGGAAAGTATGGGAGGAAGCAAAATGTGAAATATTCGGGGACTATCATGATTTATATTTAAGAACCGATGTTTTAATTTTAGTGGACTCAATTCAACGTTTCCAAAAGACAATGAAGGAAGTATCCGGACTGGACCCTTTGAACTATATAACATTGCCATCATTCGCATTTGATATGGCAAAAAAAGTGACCAAGGTTGAGCTCGAATTATTCCATAAGGGGCAGGAGAATATACACGAATTCGTACAATGTTGGATGCGAAGTGGAAATTCTATAGCGCCACGTCGTATAGCAAAAGCTAATTTTCTAGGAATGAAATGTTATGATAAGCGAAAAGCCAACAAATGGCTTCTATATTTAAATGCCAATAATTTATACGGATAGGCTATGTCTCAATATTTGCCAACAGGAGGATTCCGGTGGCTTGACATGAATAATTTACCCGATATTCGAACTATTTCACCAACTGCAAAACGAGGCAGTACTTGGGAAGTAAAATTAAGATATCCAGAAAATCTTCACCCATCACATAGTGACTATCCGCTCTGCCCAGAACATCGAGTAGTTAAGCGCAATGAGCTTAGTCTTCATTAAAATAAAGACTTAATTGATAAATTGAGTGGAGGCAAATTCGCTGAGACAGAAAAACTGGTAGCAACATTAGAGACTAAAGACCGCTATATTATCCATTACCGAAATCTTCAGCAATGTCTTGAACTAGGGATGGAACTTGAACATGTATACCGTGTATTAGAGTTTGATCAATCTCTCTGGCTCGAACCATATATTACAGCGAATACTATACGACGTCGTGATGTAAAAAATGCATTCGAAAAAGATTTATGGAAATTAATGAACAATGCTGTATTCAGAAAAACTATGGAGGATGTCCGACGTCGCACACAGGTAGATTTAGTACGACCAATAGGAGAGGAACATCGATTGCGCAAAATGTTAGCAGATCCGGCACTAGTTGGTCGTAAAATATTCCATGAAAGCAATCTTATAGCAGTATATCAAAAGCAAACGAATGTTGTACTCAATAAGCCAATCTATGTCGGGGCTTCGATTTTAGATCTTAGTAAATATTTCATGTATGATTTCTGGTATAATCATATCAAGTGCAAGTATGGAGATCGTGCAAAATTATGCTATACTGATACAGATTTACTAATTATCGAAATTGAGACTGAGGATGTCTATGCTGATATGATTGAGGATGCAGAACTCTATGATTTTAGTGATTATCCCGAAGACCACCCATTACTTGAAAAACTCCCATCAGATCAATAGATAATTCAACCGGACGGTTCACGTGAACTAAAAAATAAAAAGATAATCGGTAAGTGGAAAAATGAATTTGCAGGAACTCGAGCCTTAAGATATGCTGGAAATAGATCTAAATCTTACGCACTAGAAACTGAGGATGGTTACAAGAATGTGCAAAAGGCAAAGGGACTCAAAAAATCTCTCGTCAAAAAGGAGTTAACTATTGATATTTATGAGCACTGTATTCTAGAAGGTATAGAGGATGAGCCCCGAACTGCAAATTTCTTACAATGTGAACGTTTCGTTCTATATATAATCCGTCAGACAAAAAGGAGTATCAACCCACTTGACTCCAAGAGATGGATATTAAATGACCGGATAACAACATGGGCAATTAGGGATTGTCGAATTCTGGCATATCTATCTGCATTGGAGCAATATGAAAATAATATTCCTCAAGAAATATTGACGGATTTGGGTTTATAAGAGATATGCTCAGCTAATACATATAATATTATAATATTTTTTTTCTAGAATTTTTTTATTCGCAATTAAAACTAACCATTTTATTATACAGCAAAGACTTAGTGTTAGCATACAATGACAGAAAATACCCCAGTGAGTGATATTACATGGAAAAGAATTGAAGAGGCGCAACTCAAGATAATAAGAGAAGCATTACGCATTTGCTATAAAAAAGATAGCAAGTTAGTTACTGAATATGCTAGTTATGTAAAAAATTTGTGTCAAGAAGAAAATCCTGATGAGTATATAAAATCAACCGCTATAATGCTATTTCCAAATGAAGATGCCTATGAAAGAAGAATGAGCAGATATCAAAAATAGTATCAAGGTAAGAAAGAACTTCTTGCTAGTCTTGAAAACTTATACAGCCTTTACTATACTTTATCCAAAGAAGAGCGTTTTATGATTGAAGAAGAAATTAGTAAAACAATAGAAGAACTAATTGCAGATGGTGAATAATAATTATTGATCGAGTGCTCATTTCGGATGCAAATCACAATGCTTAATTAGCATCAATTTCTCTCTTACAAATGAACGTTCTGGACCATCTTCTAACCAATATAAAACAGGTTGATTTTTTTATACAAGAATTCTTCGAATATTAAAAATTTCTGGACTCCAATTCATATCAGTAATTCTTCTTTTAGCAGGACCATGTTCTAGTTTGCCAGGTTTAAGAAAATACCTCACTATGACATAATAGGATAAACAAGGTTCATTATATCCAACTGGTCTTCTATGTTTAATAGCAGGATTAGTGATTATTTTTTTGCCTTTTAATACTATTTTTACAGCTCCATTAGGAGACATACCTATCAATCGAGTAGGAGTATTATTAAAAATATCATCATTTATACGAAGTCCCTTAACCCATGCTCTAGATCTTTCACTTAAAGGTAAATGAAAATCTATGGCGTTTTGCCGAAAATATGCATGTTTTTCAAATTCTTGATGATCACGTTCAGCAATAGCAACACCTTCCTTAGTTACAGCATACTAGATTTTTACACCATGGCTAAGTAATAAATCTTTGCACTCGCCTAAGTATTCGGTACCTTTATCCACAATTAAAACTTTAGGCCAGGTAAGAGAGCAATTTGGATCACCATAAATTTTCATAAACATTTTAGCTAATGATGTCGATGACTTATTAGTCAAAGCATAACTTTTACAGAATCTAGTTGCTACATCTTTTATTACTCCTCTGTGCTTGTAAATTCGGTTGCCAATTTTATCATGGAGCATAGGTGTAGTATCGGATTGATGAACTTCATTTAAAATTTGTATCTCATTAAAAGAAGAATATTGAATAAATTTAGGGCGAGGCTTATGAATCTGAAAAACAGCTTGCTTATTTAACCAATTACCTACCTCAGCTAATGAAAAATTATGTCCAGCCCTTACACATGCATCTCGCATTTTTTCAGCAGTTCGATAATAACCTTCAGGTTTATAATATAGTTTCTACAAAGCAATCTCCCTATCCAAATCACAGGCTTTTTGTGAATCGATATAAATCAAAGGTTTTTCCATTATACTATACTAAATAAAAATGGAAGAATTACAACAAACCAACCAAGAGCTTTATGAGGTAGTATCACAATTAGCGGAATCAAATAGGAATTTCGAACAGCGTCTATATACCTTAGAAAGAATTATTGGCATACGGGAGGAAAGAATACGGTTTCTTGAAGAAGAGTTGAATAATGCTATCGAACTATCTAGGCAAGACAAAGAAGAATTAACAGAAGAAATTTCAAAATTAAAACGAATTGTCCAACAGCTTGAAGAGGAAAATAAAAAGAAAGATAAAGAAATTTTGAATAAGAATGAATTAATAACAGAATTCGATGAATGAGAGACAAAATTAAAAAACCGAATACAGGAGATATCCAAATCTGCGGGCAATACCCTCAAAGTACAAGATTATACAACCAGATTAGTGGATGAAAATGAACGACTTAAACGAGAAATAAATATGGTAAGAACTAATCAAATAAATAGGATTAACAAAATAACCCAACAAAAAAACCGTATTACAGACCTTCTTTGCCAAAATTTTGCATTATCCTTATTAAGATACTGAGATAGATTAGAATTTATAAACACCAGAGAGGCTTTGCAAAATGCACAAGCATGGAATAATGAAAACGAATCTGACCTCGATGAAAATTCTTTAGATATTTATAATTTTGATCAAAATTTAGATATGGGTACAATAGCTGAATTGGCCGATACTATAGACCGATCCCTAGATAATACAATAATATGTAGAACTATTTTAACAAATCAAATTAAAAGATCAACAAGATCAATCTGACGTAAATACACTAACCTGCAGCAAGAACTGGTGAATGAACGATGGAACCGTGATATATATAGGCAGGAGCACGATCAAGCAGTGCAGAAGCGTGATCAGCTACGGACCAATGCTCAGAATCAAGTAAACAGAATGATAAATAATATAGCAAGAAAGCAAACCCGTATCGGTAAATTGCTGGGAGAAAAGCTAGCCCTTCAGCTAATATATCGAAGGTGCAAAGCTGATGCTGATTTGGTAGAATTCAATCAAGCCTGGGTATTTAATCGGTATCAAAAATGAAAGGCTCGGGAAATTAATTCTCGCCAGAATATTTTAATTTTAAATCAACAAATTTTTGCGCTACAGAATAATCCACTTAATATATAACGAATAGAAATAGCAGGAATACCGCAACCATTTTTTGACTGGGGTGACGATATCTCAGATTTTCTTGCGAAGCTAAGATTATACTTGCAAAACCAAGGTGTAAATCCAGCAGATAATACAGGAGGTCCACCAACAGGAAGAGAAGTAGCTATGGGATATTTAAGAGGCTGTATGAGAGAAAGAACTTTAGAATGGTTCGATGAAGAAATTACTACAAAGCAAAATTGAGAATTAGCAAACTTACTTGATAATACGGGGCAAGCTAACATAGTAGCTGTAAATGGATGTATAGCTATTCAGATAGGAGCTAATAGAATAAACGAGGCCCTTAATTAGCTAGGAAATGCAATAGTTAAGTTAAGAATGTAGAAGGTCCTTGGGATGAAGACTGGCGTATAGCAGGAGGCTGACCTACTAATAATGCTTCAAATGCTTCCAATGCTAATGCTGATAATACCGTAGTTATATCTGGAATTCATTTTGGTCAAGCCGTATGGTAGTTAAAAACTCATTTTCCTATAGTAGAAGAAGAGCTTCGGGATATGATGTATGGAACAATCAGAAAGGGAAACATGACTATAGATGAATTATATAGAAAAATATTACGAATAGATAGACGAGCCAACTATAGACCCGAAGAATTACATAGGAAGTTCTTAGATGCTCTTTCACTTCCATGGCTTGAAAAAGCTGAGGATATTGGCGAACATTTACCATTGGACGAATTAGCTAAAAAGCTTTATGAGATAGAATTACGCCGAATAGCTAGGCATAAAAGAGATAGAATACCTGATCCATTAGTTTCTCAACGAACATCTCGAGAAATATATGAACCCTTACCCGTTTCAGCTCCTCAACAGCATGGAGTTTCTTTAGAAGATATGCAAAAAGCGATCCAAAACGCACTGGCACAGCAAAAAACTGAATACCAGTCTTTATTAGAAAAGCAAAAAGCCGATTACCAATTACAAATGGCTTAGCAAGCTGTCGCTCAAAAAGCACAAGCACCTGCTCCACAGATAGTAGAACCAGTTAGATAGCCGAAAGGTCCCCATCATCATTGCAATCAGAAGAGGGTCTCAAAAATTATTATGTAGCCGAATACTTAAAAGAATTAGATTTATTTAATAAAAATGATTTAGACTCAGCTTATTCTGTAAAACCCTTTCAAAGACCTCGCCCTCAACGAAATGAAATTTCTGCTAGGATTGATAAAATAAAAAATGCAATCAATGAAGATAGAGATGCGGTAAATCAATTAACTAATCAATTTCAAAAAGTATATATACATAAATGTGTTATTTGCGGAGAGACAGGCCATAGTAAAGATAGTTGCCCCAATAGACAAATAGCACGATCTAATTTCAATCGGTCTGCTTATTTTAAGCCTCTTACACCAATAAATTTCCAAAACACACCTCCAGATTCAGATAATGAGGAAGAAGGTTATGATGAAGAAAATCATAGGTGGACCGGATATGATCCACTGGTAAAAAAAAACAGGTACCAATAGAAAATAACATGCCTGAAATATATAATCAGCTATTATCTAAGCTTTCACCACCGATACGAAAAATGTACTTGTCCCGAAAGGCTCTGGAGAAGGAGTCAAAAAAATCAGATGAGTGGTTTTCATCTTTACAGTACTTGCATTGTAATATAAATGATCTATTGATTCCTGATTCTTTTTTAGATACTGGAAGTGAATTTGGTGGAATAAATGATTCAGCAATTCACGCACTTGGATGGAAGATTGATAAGCCATCCAATTTTGCTATAAAGGGCAATTCCAAACATATTACCAATTCATTAGGATGGTACACGGATGTGCCGGTTACTATGAAGGACAAAGAGGGAAAGACAGTCACAGTCATTAGAAATTTTGTACGTATAGATAATGGCGAACCTGAACCAATGCTATTTTTCGGTATGTCTAATATTCGAAAGCTTCAGGGTGTTTCTGAGCCAAATAAAAACCAGTTCCGCATAAAGTTACATGGGAAGACTTATGTTATTCCAACATATAGCAAGGCCCCAGTAGCTAAAGAACCGTCAAAAGAGGAGCAGAACCAAGTATCTACCGATTCCTCTAGCCTGATTAGTGAAGATTTAAAAAAAAGTGTGAAGATCTTGAAAAGCACCTCTTGAAAACTGAGAAATGGCTTGACTTGGCATTAAATGCAAGTAAAATTTTAGTGGAAAGATGCTCTAAGCTTATAGAGAAAAGATCGGATGCGTAACAATGTTTCTAGTAATATTTAATAATTTATTAAGATCAGATTCCCGTCTAGATGTATCATCTTTGAAAGAATTGACTATTCTATTTTTTTCTACTAGAGAAGATTCACCTTTTACCTTCATACTATTTTTTTTTCGACTAACCTTATCTTTTCGTTCGCTAGTTACTGTATTCAGTCTTATATAAGAATTTGTGCCATCTCTATCATTTCCGGGGTGCTCTGTATGAATAATCTCATCTTCTTGTATATTAGTAGGGGAGGTATCATGCTCAGCACTTACTGGCTGTAAAGATTCCTGGTTATTTTCTGAAATCTAATCAGAGACACTAACAGATTCTAAGATTCTACGCCACTCCTCAGTTGGTTCAGGAGGCCTCTAATTATCAATGATTTTTGATATGTTGTTGCCCCTATATGATGTTTTTTATATATAATACGTCGAGCATTTGGAATATTATTCTGAGCATTTCTGATTTCTTCAATGGCTTCGGATGACAAACGGGTGGCATCCGATCTAAGAAATTTACGAGTACAGGTTAATGGTTTTTTACTCATAACTTTAATAATAAATTTTTATGATACCAATAAAAAACTTGTAAAAAATTTATTCACTATCTATTTGGCATTGGTCTGATATTGGTTTGATATTAGTTTAATATATATATAGGAAATTCGCTTCCTTTATCACGTAGCTTGCTATAACTGTGATTCAAATAACAAATAGGTTTGAGATATGTATAGTTTAAATATCATATTTGTCTTAAACTGGTTTATTTTTGGTTTGATATCGGTTTGATTCCGATTCCTTTTCTCCACATTCGAAGAAAAAAACATGCATATGAATGATTTTCATCAACCGCTTTTGCCAAAAAATTTCGATGCTATCCTGCCTTCTCGCAATACTTGCACGAAGCTAGACAAAGATAGTTATCAGTTTTTTAAAAATATATTTTTTTTTTGAGCTTGCGAAAAAAAAGCAGAATTACTAAGAAAAAAAATATTTACTTTCAAGTAAATTTATATGGCAAATGTGCATACGCTAAATGAGATAAATAGTGGGGTAGCTCTAGTATCTAGCAATAAACTTGGGGATTTGCCATCTAATCGATATCTGCCCAGCCGAACAGAGCTTGAGAACCAACTTATTTGTACAAAGTGTAACCTCGATATTGCTTTAAGCTCAGGTATTCAGCTTGGTACTAAATGCAATCTTTTGATAAAAAATAATGAAAGCTTTTCAGAGCGTGTATGCCAGCTTGAAAATGAGACGAGAGAACTCAAAAATCAGATTACTCACAAAGATATTTCTCTTACAAGTACTAAAAGTGAGATCACTGTGAAATTGGAAGAGATATGGGCTCTCCGATTAAGAGTAAAAGAATTGGAGCAGAATCTTTCTTTAGTACAGGATAAGTTATCAGAAATGGAATCTCTCAAGAATGAATCCGAACTAGAAAATACTAACCTATTTTTAGCAAAATTGGACTTAGAAAAAACTTTGTCTAGAGAAAGAGATGAATTGACACAGATAAAGGATGATTTAGTTTCAGCATGAAAAGCATTATCAGAGAAAGATTTTCTCTTTCAAGAAGCTAATACTTGTTTAGCAGAGCAGATTTCGAAAGCATCCAGTGAAACCAATGGGGTGATTGGAGGTGTTAGCAGACTAGAGAAAGGTAACGGCATCACTAGTCCTGAAACAACCTCACTATCACCCAATTACTTCTTTTTTCAGCTTGCGATCTTTCTCATAATACTATTATTAATAATATACTTTCTATGGTCCATCTTTTCTCATCTATATTCTTCTATTTCAACTTACAATGAAGAAAAAAATATTCCAAATTATAAAATACCATTAAATAGAAATCAGAGTTATGGATTCCCAATCTGTCATACAAAAGAACCAAAAAAAACTACCACCTGTGAAACTCTACTTTATGGATATGGACGAGGCCACAAAGCACGAATCATCCCAAAATGTTGGACATCTGGCAATGACATGGCCTTTTAGCATGATAGTCAGCAGAAGAAGTGGTACAGGTAAGACCAATTTACTAGCAAAGCTTGTTCTTGGAGATAAATGTGAACATATATATAAAAGTCAAAAAGGAGGATCCAGATATATTAGATGCAATAATTTAATAGTTTGCAGTTACCATCCTGATGAGCCAAAATGGGCATTTGTTAGATATATGTATGGAATAATAGCAAGTAATCCCAAAGCGCCCTATTACGAGAACATTAGATTCAGCTACATATCACCAGAACAAATTCCTAGTATGAAATCATTTTCACCTGAGAGGAGCACCATAATCATTTTTGAGAATGTATGTGTTGCTCCCGAGTCTATCCAAAATCGAATTATACTATTTTTTACACATGAGCGACATCGAAATATTTCTCCATGCTATGTTACTCAGAAATATTATCATGTACCAATTATTATTCGTGAGAATATCTCCCTTCTAGTAATATATAATGGAGAGAGCAGTTATCAAGACATGTCCAGGATAGCTAGCCGATATACTGATAATGTAAAGGGCGCATCCATAGTTATTAATAGCTATCTCCGTAAAGGTGAGTTTGTTGTATTTGATCTCAGTAGGCCGGAGGATGATCCTCTAGCAATTCGGCTAAGATTCGATACACCATTGAATCTGCAGAAGGAAATAGAGGCACAAGGAAAGAAGCATGTAAGTTAATTCATAATGCCAATAAAGTTAATGAATCTCTTGTTAGGACGCTTTTGGAATGCTTTATCACCATACCACCAGTCTTTAGGTAGCAGGTTATAGATTTCTATATCATGTAGTTCCAATTTGTCCTTTTTGACAAACCGTCTATAAATGAGATTTTCTTCAGTATTAAGATAATATTTGGGATTCTGTGTCCATTTTATCATGGAACACCAATTAGATTCGAAAAGAAGTACATAACTTTCTTGTTGTAATAATTTTCTAACTGGTTCAAAGACCATCCAATTTAATCGATACGCTAATTGATTTCGCTTCTCTTCAGCCCAAGTTCTAGTGCCATACATGGTATGTCCATATAGTGAATTAAAAAAATCAATTTTTCCGTTAAATTTTATTA